ATATGTCTGAAAACTGAGAATCCATACGGAGATCTTTAAAGTAGCCCTACATAATAGCTAATCCACCTACAGTGTGTGTTGTAGAGCAGCATGGGAAGGTGAAGAGAGCATCAGCCAGTTCAGTCTCCCTGGTTTGTGGATTTTGAACTGGTATTTTTATCTGCTGTGCCCAATTGCTCTGTCCTAGATGCTGTCAATTCTGCCTTTCCTTCTTGGTCTGATTAGCACATGTGTAATATAGTCCACTTTTTTGGTAGAATAGCAAGTAGAAAATTCAGCTGATTGGCTGGCATTAGGAAAGATTATGTATAAACACTGTGGACATGGTAAAATACTGTGGACTTCAGATGCCACCTCTGGTCTTCAATATCTCTCATCAATGCAGCTCTTTGGGCAGATTGTTTTGTTATGAAAAATAATACAATTTTAAAATGCCAGCTTTTAACTGAATATTCTATTAAGAAAGTAATTTATTTTAAGGTATGTACATTTCAAACTGTTCAAATTAGAACTGTGATCTAGTGTAGTTATGTCCAAAAGTTACGTATTCAAGGATTTAATACCAGCCTATCTATACTTTATGCACATCTGAATAGTAATTTTGTTTTCTAGGAAGTCTAGTAGCTGTTCTTATTGCTTGTCTTGTTCATTCCTATGTGCAGACAATGGATTTGTGAGTGTGAGCTGGACTATGTTCGGACATATCTTGAGTATTCTCGTGTTTCATGTTGTGATAAAAATCTCAAATCTTTCTGAAAACAGCACATACTTTCTGAAAGCACCAGTATTTTCAACACTTCTATTTGTTTTTTATATTGAGTCAATGAAAAGGTATATTTGAAATTCATGGAGAAATATTAAAAATAAACATATTTTTGCTGGTCTAGGTAGTTGCAGGAGGTAGCTGTGGGAATAATTAGGGAGCCCACTTTTGATTTTTCCCTCAGCATTATTGGTGAACACTATGGGAGGGAGGATCCAGCTCGGGATCTGAATCACAGAGGTCATGCTTAACGTGTTATGACAATTCATTCAAAGTTTAGGAGTAATAAAATATAGTGCAGTCTTAAAGCAACCTGGATTTGGCTGATGAAGAATTTTTACTGATGCTGACATGCTGTTAGTGACATCAGTGCAGCTGCAGCACCTCCATCCACTGCACTCACAACCTGGTGGAGAAGTCTAACGTGCACAGGGAGAGGGGAAAGGCAGCCAGAAAAACTGGGTTTTGGTCTTCCTGTGATTGTGGTTTGAGCTGATGTGTCTGGCAGGATTTTCAGTAATTGTAAGCAGCTCACAGTTGTTAGTGCCTTAGCTATCTCCTTGCATCCCTGTTCTCCCTGGCAGCAGGTGACACTGCACGCAGGGGGAGTTCAAGCCTCAAGCCTTGAAACCAGTCTGGCCTTTTGTTCCATCTTGGCAGCTCTACTAAAACCAGTGCAGTCAGCATGTGGGTGTTTGATGGAGACTGTGTTACAGTTGTGAAGATATGAAATAAATGTACCTGAAATGGAGCTTGAGGGAGCAAATCTGGATGTTTGCTCCCAGATGGGGAACGTCAATAAAAAATACAGAAACTTGTGCAGATAGGCATGGACACACTTTGTTGTCCTTTTCCAGGCATTGAAAAGACAGCTGTCATCTTTAATTTCTGAGGTTTTCTGTAGTGTTGTTTATTCCTTGACATTCTGTATTTTATTTTCTGCTTTCTTGCAAATGTGACTGTAAATTTTTTTTTTTTTTAATGGTAAAATGAGTCAATTAGCTCATTTGTTCATGTGTAAGATGAACTTGTTTTCTGTTAGAGATCATTAGGGCTCTTTCTTATCCTGGAAATAGGTGACATACCATTACATCTTGGTATTTGATTTGATTTGATTTTCCCTTTAGAGACTCTGGAAGAAGAAACAGCTCCAGTGCTACTAAGCTGTGTGAGAACTGTGAACTTGGTCAGTGAGGATAATTTGCTTCCAGTTGCCAAAAGAGCCTTGTTTCACTTTTGAACAATAACCCACAGGTCTGTGAGGAGTGTTATGTGCTGAAGTGTTAATCAGTAAGCAGCTTGAGCCACA